AGTTAACGTGTTTCTCTTCTTGAAGTTTTACTATTTTAAGGGGAACAATTGTTGTTGACTCAAAGTCACATGTATACACATTGACACTTATCCGATTTTTCCGTTCAAACCTGTTGATGTTTGTAACGGGTACAATACCTCGTACATCAGAGAAGTCATATTTAGAAGTAAATGAAGAGTATTGATTTATACGGTAAGGGTTTTGTTTTCCATGATGATGAAGACCTATGAGAACACTGTACATGAAACAGTCAGTATTAGTTTCTGGAGAGATGAGAGCTTTCTTGAGTGAAATCTCTTTAGGGAGTTTATGAGATGAACACCCACCACAGTCAGGACGGAAGTTAGCAACTTTAAGATCAACACAATCGATACTCGATAACGTCCAATTAGATCCTCTCTGAGTGAATTGATCAATCTTCTCTTGTACCCTTTGAAATGACACGAGAACTAAGTCACTCACATCATCTGACACCAATACACTCTGTAACGATGTGTTGAAATAGGCTTTACTAATTTTATCGACTTCAGAGGATTGATAAAAGTACAACAAGTTAGTGAAAATTTAGCTGCTCCATACTTTTCAGTTAGTAGTTGGATGAGTGATGATGTTGAAAAAAAACACTGTCAATCAGAGATTGAATATCAACAATGTTGTCTGGTTGTAACCGATAAGTCACATACTCATTAGCAAATGCTCTCTTGGTGAGTATGTAACCATCATACTGATCAGGAACATCGACAATCTTTCGAATGGTTTTTGATTTGTTACCACACCATTTCTGATGATTATCCAGATATCCACGAGCCGTATATGTTTTACCACAGTCATCACAAGCAAATTTAATACCTTTCGCTTTGATAACTGGGTTTTTTCGAGGTTTACTTGGACCTGGTAATGACACTACATCATTACCATCATTATTGTTACCATCCTGATTACCATCCTGATTACCATCCTGATTACCGTTACTATCCTGATTACCATTACCATTAACATTCCCATCCTGATTACCATTACCATTAACATTCCATCCTGATTACCATCCTTTCCGTTTCCATTACCATTACCATCCTCCATTTCCAATATCAATATCGTCCATGTTGTCCAGACGTTCGATTATAGTAGTTGGCTCTGGTTCTAGTCTTGGTGGAGCAAATTGTATCACAGATACTCGATTGGATGGAACTTCAACCTCACGAATAACTGATTCAACCACCTCACAGGAGTTATCACAACTAGAAGACGTTCTTTGTCTCTTATGTGGGTTAACTTCAGGAGATGATGTGAAAACATCCAACATTGAGCAGGGAAGTGAAAGACATTGGCAGAAATGTGACAAGTATGAACCAAGATCGTCGTCTGGGGTAAGACAACATGGGCAAACGAATACCTGTAAAAGAAAAAGATGAATATAAAGATGGTTATTAGTTAAGGTAATACATAAGGGATTACCAAAGAAGCTTTTTTCTTTTTGATTAGTTGTGCTTTCTGCTTTTTGATTTAATTTTTTGTTGTTGTTTTTTTAATGTTTATTAGAGAAAAAGATTAACAATCGGCCTTTTTATATAAGGCAGCAGAATTGGCTTTGAGTTTATTGGCTCTCCATGAGATCCTCACTGCGGCCGTGTACATCCAATTATCTGGATTGTAGCAGCCTTGAGGTTATACCAGGAGGCCTTCTTCACCATTTTATTAGACCGATAACGGTCTTGATGGGCCTTCCTCATGATGGTGATCTTCCGCCAGATATCGTCCTTCGGGCGGGCAAGGATGTCTCGGAGCTTCCTTCTCCTCCTCTCTTTCGCCTTCTGATTCTTCGTCTTCTTCTTTGGTGGAACCATAGGAGAAGGGACTTCTTCAGGAGTTTTCCAGTGAAACCTCAGGAAGAGGATTTCTCAGTAAGAGCCTTCTTCTTCGGTTCCGAAGTAGAAGGACTTCTCAGGAAGAACCTCTTCTTTGATGGGAGGGACTTCCTTAGGAAGAACCTCCACCCTAGGGGTCACCTCGAAGAAGGGAGGGAGAATCAGATCGACTACTCGATCGAGGGAACCAGCCGCAGACCTCGGATCCTTCAAAGAGAAGGGAGGAAAGGGAAGGTTCAGGAGCGAAGAGCCAGGTCTCTTCTTCCGAGGGTCCACCAGAGGACCAATACCATCCAAAGGGTCGAGAGGAATCGTAACCTACGAGAAGGGAGAGAAAAAAGAAAAAAGCTTCTTTGGTTAAGGGTCAAGGGAATGATTAAACACTTACCATCTTGACTTAACGTAAGGGCAGGAAGAAGTAGTAGAGGGAAGAAAAAAAACCTACTTTAAAGTTGACTACTTATCACTGAGCCGTGAGGTCTCAACAGTGTAAGAGAACAGAATGAGGTTTACCATTGAAAGCTCTCGCTTTATATACCCCGAGAATCACTTTGAAAATAGAGTTCATTAAGTAGATTTCATTAAAATTAATTAGTATTCAATAGAAAAAATGAATTTTTTTCTGTTCATTTCATTCAGCTGAGTTTACTATCTCTTTTTTCATGATTAAAATTTTTTCAGGGTGATTAGCTGAGTAATTATCGTAAAAGTTCATTAATTAATTATAATTATAAACTACCAGAGCCATCTATCTGAATAATCATTTACTAAATTGATGAGTGATTCCATCTATTGATAAAAGTTGGAACTAGAGTTAATGTGTGGGAAATTCAAATTGATTATTTTTATTTTTGATTAATGTATATCAATGTATATTAATGTATATTAATGTATATCAGTGTATATTAACGTATAACATTGTGATCAATGTATATCATGTGTATCAGTTAAGCATTTCATCATTAATTAGGATTAAGTATCACTTTTGTTAATTATCTATCACGTCTCGATTAGTTTAACATAATAATGACCAACACTTATAACCCATTGTTTCATGTTCAAATCCTCCTTGAGATTTATTTTTACATCAATTAACATGAAGTGATAATCTATCAATTCAATCAGCTGATGAAGTTCAAGTGTTAATCAAAGAAAATCATTAAAAAAATTAATGAAAATTTTTCCTAAAATCATAAAAAATTAATGAAAATTTTTCCTAAAATCATAAAAAATTAATGAAAATTTTTCCTAAAATCATAAAAAATTAATGAAAATTTTTCCTAAAATCATAAAAAATTAATGAAAATTTTTCCTAAAATCATAAAAATTAATGAAAATTTTTCCTAAAATCATAAAAAATTAATGAAAATTTTTCCTAAAAATGTCTGATAGAAATATATACAAAATTTCACTTTGAGTATACTAAGTCTCCCATCTGTAACTTGTGTTACCATGCCTACTGAAGCTCTCAATTGTTCTCTCCTAATTGACATGCGCTACCTAAAAAAAAAAAAAAAGGTCCGACGTTTTGAAAACCCGTTAGACCTAGTGTAAAGCACTCTGCCAACCCCATTAGATCTAGTGTATAGCACCCTCAGAATGTCATTAGACCTAGTGTAAAGCACCCTAAAAAAATTTTTCCCGCCGTTTGCCATAGTTTCCCAAGCCTAGTTTCCCAAGCCTAGTAGTCAAAAAAATTTTTCCGCCGTTTACTATAGTTTCCCAAGCCTAGTTTCCCTAAATATAGTCTTTCCTTTGTTACGCACAAGAAATTTTTTCATTTAATTAAATGTTCAATTTCCGTCAGTGAAAAATTTTATGATTTTTTCAGAGACAATTAATTAGGTGAGTCCGCCTTCGGCGGACCTCACGGATTAATGTAAATGAGAAAAAATCATAAAATTTTTCACAACTCCAATTTCATGTATTAATTAAATAAAAAAAATTGAAATAAAACCGAGAGTTAGTTTCATACCATGTATACTTTTTACAGTTTAATTTTATTACTTAGTTTTACTTGACACAATTCACAGTCTTGCTACATCAAATTTAAATACGTGTTAATGATGTTCGATTGACAAACATTGTTAAGGCATTATCGATCTCTTCTTGATCTTTGGCTCCTGTTATAATAACTGACCCAGTGGTGTAATAAATTAATGTTACCTTCTCTGTCTTGATGTATACAGCTGGGTAGATCTCTGGCTCGTACGTTGTATCTTGATAATTAGCTATCATGGCACGGGTGTCAAATGAATAGGGTAGATAACTGTGAGCTGTTATGTTAACAACTTTCATGAACACCACAGACCTCTCAGGGTAAATCTCTTGTAAACATGAACCAGCTGTGTTTATATTCTTGAATCCTGTAGCTGTCACTTTACCAGATGCAAACACTAAGAAGACACCTTCCTTTATTCTCACAACCTCTGCATTGAACCGTTTCTTTCTTTGAATTGTCCACATTAATTTGTATTGGTCCGATGTTCCAAAGTGAAACCACATTAACAATGTCATATTTAAGCGAGGACGATTCCTGGTTCTTTGATGTTGCCATAGTAGATACTCTTTATTAACAGTATAACGAGTAAACACAGAATGATGAAATTTATCACGAGTAGATGCATTTTAATTTTCATTTACTCTCCTCCTTTCTTATACTCCCTCTTGTTCTAGAGATGTCAACTTTATGTGTTAGAAATGTATATTAAATGATAACCTGTTCTAGAGATGTCAGTTCTGATGTATACGAAATGTTGGTTTTAATGTGAGTTAGAAATGTACCTGAGTTAGAAATGTACCTGAGTTAGAAATGTACCTGAGTTAGAAATGTACCTGAGTTAGAAATGTACCTGAGCTAGAAATGTACCTGAGTTAGAAATGTACCTGAGTTAGAAATGTACCTGAGTTAGAAATGTACCTGAGTTAGAAATGTCACTTGAGTTAGAAATGTCACTTGAGTTAGAAATGTACCTGAGTTAGAAATGTACCTGAGTTAGAAATGTACCTGAGTTAGAAATGTCACTTGAGCCAGAAATGTCAACTGAGCCAGAGATGTCAACTCTGAGCCAGAAATGTCTTATGAGCCAGAAGCAATCTTTTCCTTACTACTAACGATCAAAATAGTTACTTACTGATTTCACAAAATAATGACTAGTAACAAATTTATCATATTTTTTGCCTTCGAATTTGTAGTAGTAATCAACTCTCTCCCAAACATGAGCTTCATACCCTGATCTCTTTTGGCATTTAATTGGAAAAGAGATGAAATTTGTATTTAGTAGGAAAATTTTTGCTTTAAGATATGAAACATACGATAAAAGTTTTACCAAGATACGAGTATCCATTTAGGTCTCGATAATTAAGAAAACCATATTGGGTGAATGTTCCGTAAATACTTATTCCTGGACTATTTGGACCAATGCCGGAGATCAAACAACGACCCTCTTTTGTTAGGGAATAAATAGTTCCCAAGTTATAATCGTAAATAGATTCCGTCACAATCCCTTGTTCAATTGTTTTCAAACTTGTAGTAAGATCTCGGCCGTTAACGTACATCTGATACATGAAATTCAAAGGAAAATCTCTAACTTTTATCACTTTTTTATTCTTTTTAGTTAAGAACCCAACTTTTTGTTGGTCATGAAATTTTGAACGAGCATCTCAAAAATATCGTCTTATTTTATTTTCGATCATCCAGACGGATGATATCTGAGGCTAAAGTGTCAAATTCGATACCTTATATTAACCCCGCTATTGGTTATATCACTATGAAACCCGTGATTTAGATAGATCTTGATTTGGGCTTTCATTTGTATAACATTATTAGTTAACTTGTTTCGATAAGCTATTCAATTAATCACAATTTAATCTCTCTATGTACGAATTTAAATAATTTTTGTTCCAAATTCAATTTCTGTGGCTGTATGAAGAGAAAGTTCTGCACCTCGAAATACATGTTAATTCCCATAGACAAAAATGAAACGATAAAAATCTTCGTTTTTTCACTCGCAGCGTATTTAAACGGCGCTGAAAGTACTAAGTGAACTGTTTCTGAGTCATGGACTTATTTGAAAATGATTCAGCTGCCATAAATATCTCAGTAACTTTCCAAGCCTCTCCCGAAAATAAAATTGGACGATATTTTTGAGAAGCTCGTTCAAAACTCTATAACCAAAAAACTTCTTAACTAAAAAGAATAAAAAGTGAAAAAAGTTATAGAGGTCTTCCTTTTACATGACAAATATCCAAAACAAATTAAAATTTTAAATCAGAAAAAAATGGTGTCTAACACTGTATTGATTGGAGAAATATTTTTACCTCACTCAAAGTTATTGACTTTTTGGGTCCATTAACAGTAGTTTTTGACACAAAATGATAGCTCGATCCCACCATTTCTGGTATTTGAAACCAGTCATGAGATTTTGATGTTATGAGGTTCAAGGGACAACCGATTCCTGGTGTAACCTAAAGGTGATAAATTCTCATAACAACCAATGAAAATGTTTTGTATTCTTCGTACCGTAACAACTTTATCAAGCTCTTCCTGTGTTTTAGTAATTGAATAAATATCTAAGTTAACAATTTCGCTGGAAGTAATTATTTGAAAAGGTCCATCAAATTGTAATCGATTGGCTTTTAATATTCCTGGAGAATCTAAATGAGCTTTTTAGAGAATTGGTAATGAGCTAAAGGTAACAAGTAGTTATGCAAGAAACAAAACAAGATTTTCTTGTATAATTTACTTACTTTTGTAATAGTAAATAATATCAAGATTTCTATTGAATGTTGTGTTTGCAGAATGGACCGCGAATCCATTAATATTTGTATCTTCGTCTTGTCTCTATAAATTAACAATTCAACACAAGTAAAACACCAATTAAAATTAAACCAAAGTAAAAAGGATTTTATCAACTTGGCAATTCCAATATTTACCCAGATAAAGTTCCTTCCATTGATCCTGAACACAATCGAAGGTCCCGTCATCAGTAGATGATTAAGAAGAGGCTTTGTCGAATCGATGTTGAATAATTTATGATCCCATTTGTTTTTCAAATTAAATCCAAAACATTGTTGATCTGTTGACACATAAAAATCATAAGAATACGAAGCCAATTGAACACAGAACTCAAAGCCACTCACTCTGAATAACTAATCTATCGTTTTTAAATTCACTGGAATAAAAAATATCCATTGTATCATCTCCAGAAGATATAGTTATTTTACCACGAACAACTTCACTTGAATGAACGTACTCTCGAATATCGAAAACTCCATCATTTGACTAAATTGAATACTTCATTAACTAACTATTAATATTTAAGGGTAATTAAAGATCCACTTACCGAGATTAACTTTGCGGTTATTATCCAATTACCTTTGTCAACTGTCCAGGGGAGATCATAAATAGACTCTAAGATGAACCAAAAATAGAGATATGCATATGAAAACTATTCCCAAGCTACAATAGATTCATCACCAAAACTTACCGGTTGATATTCGAAGTATACAAAAGTTTGAGAGAAATAAAAAAGTAAGCAAATTCATAACAAAAAGTGAAGTCATTTCAGATAGCAAACAATTAAAATAGCGAGTGATTTTAAAAGAAATGATACTTTGTTACCAGCACGAATTATGGTAATTGACTAATTTCTCAACTAATACGAGTCTTTATTACATCAAAATATGGGACTCACTAAATGTTGGTGTCATCTAATTAATCGGTTCCTCCTTTCTAATCTTATCACATTTAACCAAAATTATCATAGTGTAACCAATAAACAATCATTGAGAACCGTTTTGTTTATGTTTGTATTCAACAGGTAATTAAATTGTATCATCATGAGATCAGTTATCTGTTGATTACAAATAATATATACACATTAAATCACACAATTTAGGATTATTATCTATGCTAATGATTTAAAATCTAATCATGGTGACAATTATCAAAGAAAACTTTCATGCCAATAGACTCGATTTTCGCATATGTTGAAATGAACATTATTATGAAGTCTAGGCGGGATTCCTTATTTAAATGGTCTTCGTACTTTCATCAAATAAATAACTTGCAAAGTAATTGCCCATCAAGACTTATCTTAGATTCAATCTTGTGAAACTTTTTATCTCCCATTCTAATTTTATCAATTAGCGCTTGAATTGATTGTTATAACACAAACAATCAAATCAAAAATTTATCGCGTTCATTATCACGATTTGAAAATATTCCTATTACTGAATTCTAGGCTGAATTTTACTGAACTCAGAAACTTTCATTCTAATCTTAATGGCTGTTAGAAACACGAAATGAAGTCAAACTGATCTCTTTTTTCACTTATGATCCAAAAAATTTTGCCGAACCATTTTATTCGTTCAAATCAACTCGATTATTGTAAATCATGAAACAATATTTAAGTTTCTCGGTCAGAGTTTAAATTAATTTAAATAGTTAAGAATTTTATTTGTACTCAACCTGTTTAGAGTTGTTTTAATGTACAGTAAAACCTCTGGTAATGGTAATGAGTGGAAATAACTTATTCTCATTATTTACACAGCATTCGTACGAACAGAAATCATTTATTAATCAAAGAAGTTTTCATAATCAAAAGTAACTTGTGAAAGTAAATCTTTCGAGAAACAGCTTCCAGAAGAAATATTTGCGAATTCATTGAGGGTGATTTCTGATTTCGATTTCATAATCATGTATCATATCTAAATTGACGTAACCTGAATGTGACCAACAGTTAGTAACAGTTTGAATAGTCATTTATTTCCAATCAATTTCAAGCAAATTAAGCGCATCAAGTAATAATAGATTCTTCATGAGATATGATTCTTTAATTATTAATACTTACCTATTTTTGGTTGAGACTGACTGATCCATAGTTAACTATGGATTAGTTGATGGGTTAATCATTAGCATCGCTGGCGGAAATTTCGGACAAAGGTGATGTTTCAATTTCTAATAGTTTATTTTAACTTTTCATTGGAAATTAAACTTTCAATTAATATCGTTTAAGTGATTAATCGACTAACTACAATTAAGAGACAGAACAACTGGAAATGATTAACTGATAACATTACAAGAATAATTCATTTTAATATTCTGTTGATTAAAACATTTCTATTATTATGAAATTGGATTATAAGAACGTTTCAACTTTTTTAGAGTCAATGGATTAACCCGATGGATTAGTTGATGGCCAATCCAAATCAAATAGAGAAAACTTTGTGCTGAATAGAAATTTGGTTCAACTCAAATGGGTTGACTGTAATTTCAATGGGTAATGACAATGTCTTGACTATCAAGTATATTTGCATCAATTGGGTTGATCCATAATGAGTCACTAATAATAAGCTTATCTTCAATTATTAGCTGCTCTGGTGTAATAGCATCTGAACCAAACCAAAATGATATTTTACAAGTCTAAATTTCAGAATTTGAATCGTGATAAATTTACCATGCAATGAAAAATTTGAGACTTAATTCGGCGATTTCTGACTAATTAGTATAACAAAATGAGAATTTAAAACGTTGACTATCGAAGTCACACTACCTGTGAAGTTACCAGAATGATTTGATTTAATTGAATCAATTGTTAACATTGATGAATCTTCATTGGTTCTATTAATAATTCAAGTTGATAATGAACCAATTAATTGTGCTCCATCTACATACCATTAAACGTTAAGTTTAAAATACAGAAAGGTAAACCTTTCAATTTCAACCTACTGAATTTAACTAATAAAGCCAATTTTTTGGATTAGTATTAATACTTGGATTAAACATCTAAACTAGTGATAGATTGAGTATCAGCTCAATTTTTGGAGACTTGAGTTGATTTATTTTATTGTATTATTTAAAATTTCAATTGTTTGTAACCTTTCTATTCTTAGATCAGAAGTCCTGTAAATATGTATGTTCGAACTTCGAAGTACCAAGACAAGTGAGCCAAACCGAAAAATTGTACTAAAAATAACATCGGCTTAAAACGAATTCATTCTATTTTGTTTACCATCATTCAATCTAACATTTTATGTTCTCAAGTTTGTTCCAAGTAAACACCTACGTGACAACCTCGATTATCTAAAAAATTATTGATAAAATTATTGTGATTACATTGTTATAATGTGTATCCATTTGACAATCTGATAAATTCTCTAGATATCTATTAGGTTCAATTTGTTACAATTTGTTACAATACTGAACATTTAGATTGCTTTTAATTGTGATCAATGATATCGATTGTTTTTGAAAAATTGATAAGAGAATTGGTAATTAATTTCAAACAGTTTTTTGTTGATAGTCAAAACATTGTCATTACCCATTGAAATTACAGTCAACCAATTTGAGTTGAACCAAATTTCTATTCAGCACAGAGTTGTCTCTATTTGATTTGGATTGGCCATCAACTTATCCATCGGGTTAATCCATTGACTCTAAAAAAGTTGAAACGTTCTTATAATCCAATTTCATAATAATAGAAATGTTTTAATCAACAGAATATTAAAATGAATTATTCTTGTAATGTTATCAGTTAATCATTTCCAGTTGTTCTGTCTCTTAATTGTAGTTAGTCGATTAATCACTTAAACGATATTAATCGAAAGTTTAATTTCCAATGAAAAGTTAAAATAAACTATTAGAAATTGAAACATCACCTTTGTCCGAAATTTCCGCCAGCGATGCTAATGATTAACCCATCAACTAATCCATAGTTAACTATGGATCAGTCAGTCTCAACCAAAAATAGGTAAGTATTAATAATTAAAGTTGAAGGTCTTGAGCCAAATAGACATTTTAATTCAAGACTACTACAATTTATGGTAATAAGAATGTTGCTTCGGAACACTTTTCAAACGCATTCGAAAAGAATATCGAATTGATAATCATTTTCTTCGATATAAAATTTTATAATCAGCTTTTTCATTTTTTCATAAAATATTGTCCAATACTTGTTCTTTTACTGTTTAATTATTTTTTAGCAGTTTAAAGTAAACTGGAATCTAGAAAAAATTAATACAATATAAGAATGATTATTTTTCAATACAGTTTGATCAATTTCTGTTTGTCCATCTGAATATATTAACTTCTTGCTCTGTAGCAGACTCTGAATTCAACTGTCGCGTGATCGTTCCCTTTAATTTTTCATAGATGAGCACCGGGAAAATGAATCCAAACAAAAGTCCAATACTAATGAAAAAAATGATCAAGACGAATGCAGCTCCTCCGTTTATCTTTCCAGTCATAGCTTTTTGATACACATGATTTTTGTCTTTTAGATTTTTGTACTGATAATTTTTACAATCACCTGAATTAATCAAAGTAACTGATTTATCGTTGGTCGAATATTTTGATAAGCTACATGAGCTTATTTCACCATTTTTAGGACAATAGTTAAATGATACACAAGATTCACCAGTATTTGTCCAACTGTGACAAAGAGCAGCACATTGATCCAAATTTAGGTTAACTTCAGTGTGAAAAACTTCAGCAACAATTTTCCGTCCAGTTGATATAAATTGTTGAGAGACTTTCGCTGAAATTACAAAGACATTGATTAATGAAACTAATCATTTTCTCTTCAAAAATATTATATGAATGATACTTACGAATATAAACATTACAATCAGAACTTTCCTGTGATATCGAATCAGTATAAAAGCCACTCAAAGTACAAGAACCACCACATTGTTGGAATGAGAAACACTCATCAGATGAACTGCACATTGAAGCACAATCATCGAGCGGAACATCGATGCTAGTTGATTGTTTAAACTCTCTTGAAGATATCTTAATGTAATCTAATAGTCGGTTCTTTGAGTAGATTTTACAAGATTCATCTTCTGTCGTTCGTTTGGATAAATTAGCATAGATCATATTTGATGTATAACAAGAAGATTTATCTTTATATTGACAATAAACGAAAGTCTCACAAAGATTGACATCATCATGAGCACAAGTACGATAACAATCACCAAGATTCGAAATATCTTTAGCCAATATGACATCAACATCAGTATCTATCAATTTCTTTTCCGATGCAACCAATACGAAAGAGTTTCTATTTTGTTGCAACCCATTAGTTATGTCGACAACTTTTGTGGAACTGTAAAATATGTAAGCTTCACCGGATAGATAAATTTGAAATTTGATATGACGAATAAAATCTTCCAGCTTATCAAGAATAACTTGCTTTTCGAATTGAGAATAACTTGGCGTTGGATAAAATACATCACAAATTGTACCATTTTCATCCTTGACAATCGTTTCCTTAGATTTAATTCGACCGCAAATACTTGACCTTGTGTCTTGATAACAAAATACTATTGCTCTTGGATAGGGAATCCAATGATAAATGAAAAGTTGAATAATTTGCATAGTTTAGGATAATTACAATACTCACTCTGGGTCATAATCGAGTCTAGCTTGTTTGTAAAGACAATCGTCAACTGAATCTGCAGGAACTTGATACAAGCTTGAAACTGTGCTCTGAGATAATTTTATTGTTTCTTTTTGTAAACTATCTGATTGTAAAAAGAAATGAAAAACTTCATTATCTGTGCTTAGTATCAGTTTAAACTCACCTTCAATATTGGGAATTTTCAAAAAGGTCACTAATGCTTTGATATTTCGATCTTCAAAAACGAGATTAATATTAGATATTCTTGCAGGAGAAATATGATTCTGAGTCAATCTATTTTTTATACTCAATTTGAATAAATCATAGCGGTTTTCCGCATACTTTACGCAGTCCACATCTCCGTCATTTTCACAGCGAAAATAAATCGCCAAAGTCTTTCTCTCATTAGAATCCTGGTAACAATCACTGAAGCGCAGAGATAATTCAGCTTCATAATCTTGACCTGACTCCATATTCTCTAACCGATAGTAGTCTTTTGTGGTGGTTTCAATCAATTTATAAGAATCCTAAATGTATTGAAATTGTATATTAGTAACCGTTATATTATATAATAAATGTACTTAGTATTTGGTTCTAGATACTTACGGTGCTCACATCTTTGTAATTACTTGCTGTATCTCTTACAAGAATAAAATCTTTGAATAACTTGGCTCCAGACTAAAAAGAAGCGAGGAAATCAGATGAAACATTAACCTCAAAATGAACGATCAAAATAGTTACTTACTGATTTCACAAAATAATGACTAGTAACAAATTTATCATATTTTTTGCCTTCGAATTCGTAGTAGTAATCAACTCTCTCCCAAACATGAGCTTCATACCCTGATCTCTTTTGGCATTTAATTGGAAAAGAGATGAAATTTGTATTTAGTAGGAAAATTTTTGCTTTAAGATATGAAACATACGATAAAAGTTTTACCAAGATACGAGTATCCATTTAGGTCTCGATAATTAAGAAAACCATATGGAGTGAAAGACCCAAACTTACTTATTCCTGGACTATTTGGACCAATGCCGGAGATCAAACAACGACCCTCTTTTGTTAGGGAATAAATAGTTCCCAAGTTATAATCGTAAAGAGATTCGGTCACAATCCCTTGTTCAATTGTTTTCAAACTTGTAGTAAGATCTTGACTGTTGACAAACATCTAAAAAGATAAGATTTGATTAGATTCAAAAAGAGATTAATAATCATTCAGATCTAAACGAATGAAATTTTATCAGTCAAAGAATTTATTTTACCTGACTCAATGTCATTGACTTTTTGGGTCCATCAACAGTAGTTTTTGCTATAAAATGATAGCTCGATCCCACCATTTCTGGTATCTGAAACCAGTCATAAGATTTTGATGTTATGAGGTTCAAGGGACAACCGATTCCTGGTGTAACCTAAAGGTGATAAATTCTCATAATAACCAATGAAAATGTTTTGTATTCTTCATACCGTTACAACTTTATCAAGCTCTTCCTGTGTTTTAGTAATTGAATAAATATCTAAGTTAACAATTTCACTGGAAGTTATAAGTTCGAAAGATGAATCCAGACCATCGAATTGTAATCGATTGGCTTTTAATATTCCAGGAGAATCTAAATGAGCTTTTTAGAGAATTGGTAATGAGCTAAAGGTAACAAGTAGTTATGCAAGAAACAAAACAAGATTTTCTTGTATAATTTACTTACTTTTGTAATAGTAAATAATATCAAGATTTCTATTGAATGTTTAGTTTGCAGAATGGACCGGAAATCCGTTAATATTTGTATCTTCATCTTGTCTCTATCAATTAACAATTTTCAACACAAGTAAAACACCAATCAAAATGAAAATAAAGTAAAAAGGATTTTGTCAAATCAGGAATTCCAATATTTACCCAGATAAAGTTCTTTCCATTGATTCTGAACACAATCGAAGGTCCCGTCATCAGTAGATGATTAAGAAGAGGATTTGTCGAATCGATGTTGAATAAATGATTATCCCATTTGTTTTTGGAAGTAAATTTACTACATTTTTGATCTGTTGGAACGTAAAAATCATAAGGATACAAAGCCACTCGACTATTTAGTAAAGGTTCAAAAGTTAGAGAAAGTTATCTTTGGTCGAGATACAGTTATTTCAGGGCCGAACAAGGCTTAGAGTCAGTATTCAACAGATTCAAATGCTCTTATACTGTGAATACTGTTTGATATTTGCTCTCTTCTTTTCGCTATTTAGACCTAACCTCTAATGAGTTTAGCTGTAAACCTTTACCGATTATTTTAACAGTACTTACTTTGAATAACTAATCTATCGTGCTCCAATTCACTGGAATAAAAAATATCCACCTTATCATCTCCTGATGATATAGTTATTTTACCACGAACAACTTCACTTGAATGAACGTACTCTCGAATATCGTAAACTCCACCATTTGACTAAATTGAATATTCAATTATTTAACTATTCAACTATTAGACAAGAAAATGAAGATTCACTTACCGAGATTAACTTTGCTTTTATTATCCAATTACCTTTGTCAACTGTCCAGGGGAGATCATAAATAGAATCTAAGATAAACCAAAAATACAGAAATCATATGAAAACTATTCCCAATACACACATTTATTGCATTCGTCACAACTATTATCAAAACTTACCGGTTGATATCCGGGGTATGTTAAAATTTGAGAGAAATATAAAAGTAAACAAATTCATAAACAAAATCATTTTAAAGTACAAAAAGTTACAATAGCGAGTGATTTGAAAAGAAATGATACTTTTTTACCAGTACAAGTTATGCTAATTGACTAATTTCTAATTAAAATGAGTCTTTATTATGATCACAACGTGAGGCTCTTTAGATGTTGGTGTCATCTAATGAATTGGTTACTCCTTTTTGATTATTGTTAATCTTATCACATTTGACCAAAATTATCATAGTGTAACAAATAAACAATCATCTAGAATCATTTTTTCACGATTGTAATCAACAGGTAATTAAATGGCATCATTATGACACCTTTTCAATATTAGACAAGTTATCTGTTGACTACAAATATGTTTACATCAAATCACACAATTTCTTGTTATTATTTATGATTCTTCGAGATAGTCACTTGTTTAGTTCTACTTAATTGGTTATTTACTTGGATCCATTTTAATAGATACGAAATTTCATCAAATAGATTACTTGCAAAGTAATTGCCCATCAAGACTTATCTTAGATTCAATCTTGTGAAACTTTTTATCTCCCATTCTAATTTTATCAATTAGCGCTTGAATTGATTGTTATGTAACCAAACTGGTTACACCACCAGTTTCTTTGTTCAACCAGGTACCACCTCTCACGTGGTACCTGGTTATCCTTATTGGATGAAATTTGAGGAAGAAGATGAAGATAAGGGAGAAGATAATCTCCCTCACTAACCATATAATGGCCAGTTTTCGGCCATTTTAGGTATGGAAAATCGGGGAAAAGTTACCCAAGTGCCGCTCTACTTTTATTAATAAAGTGTTTATGTGGCAATTAATTGCAATAGTTTTATAATAGTTATTTTCTTTCCATATTGGAGGTCCCACCGAGATCTATTTGTTGTGTGATTCATTAAAAATTTAAAAAAAATGATCTTACATTAGTAATATTTACTACGTAACAAAATCAGTGGTGTTAATATAAAAGTGACATTATATTAGTTAAAACCTAAGTGAAACAACAACTGTAACAGATACAAAGTGACTCGAATAGAGTAATCAAAGGACAAACTGATTAAATGAATAAAGTGTTGTAATCAGTTAAACAACTGATCTTGTAACAAAATTTAGTTAAATTAAAAGTACTTTAAATTCATTTAAAGTGGAATTGGTTAATCCAACCTTACAACCTTGCGGATAGATCAAGGAGTGGAAATTCTACTCATCACCTTTCTGGTTCCATATTTGTTGATTGAGTATATATAGCTTACATTGTCAATTAAATAAACTTAATAAAATATCAAATTAAATCAATCAGACAAAAAAAAATCAAAAAGAAAATCCATTTTTCTTCAACCCAACCTGGTAACCATTATCAAAGGAGATCAAATTGAAAGGAAAAGATAAGTGCTGTTTTTATACATTTCATATTTCATATTCATATTTTAAACTTAATCTGGTTTTACCTTTAAAATACATTTCACTTCCATTTTAATAAGTACAAGAGAAATCAAACCACCTAATATTTTCACTTTTTGTAAGATGAGAGTAATTGTTTAAGCAAGACTCAAGTGACCAAATTACGATATTCATTAGGAAAGTGTATTCCAGTTTGTTTCTTCCACTTTTGAACTGCATTTTCTTTATTTTCTCTCTGAACTTTACAAAATAAGGTCGTTCAAGATCAAACCAATTATAAAAGACACAAATAAGAGATTTTCACCTTTAGAAACAAGAAAAATCAATGATCAAATTTTGTGTTTGATTTAATTCTTTCTCAGGTTTGACCAGTCAAAATTGTTGAGATAATTTCTTCAAGTATTTGTCATCTGTGACCAATTAAAAGCTGCTAAGATTATTTGTCATCTTTACTTTATCAACTACAATTGACGAGAATCAATCCTGTTTTAATCGATTTTGTGTAATAATGAATTTCCTGTTAAAATTTTATTTTTTTTACTCACTCTTATCATATATGTCTGAAGATCAAACACAGTTAATTATTGATTGAATTAGCCTTTTCGAGCAAAATATAAGCAAAATAACGACGACCTAGAATTAAAATAGTCCAATACGAATCCAATACAAGTAGCAGTTACCTCGTTTTTTTTTTGACGTTATAAGACCCAAATAAAATACATTTCTCAGTAAGATCCAATTAATTCATCTATAAATAAACCTTGAGAAACAGTAATTTAAAATTTACTCAAACAAAAATCAGATATAACAAGTGAACTGTACAATGATTGAACTAACCAACCATAACTAAAGTTAATTATCTATCTTTTCAAATTGAATTGAACTTTACAACAATCGATCAATCAACATTAATCAAAATAAAATCATTGAAGCAAAACAATAATTAACTTCAACAATTGAATGAAAAAAATTAAAATCATTGAATCAAAACAACAATAAACTTCAACAATTGAATGAAAGGAATAAAATCATTGAATCAAAGCAACAATCAACTTCAACAATTGAATGAAAGAAATATAATCCTTGAATCAGAACAGCAATTATTTTCAACAATTGAATGAAAGGAATAAAATCATTGAATCAAAGCAACAATCAACTTCAACAATTGAATGAAAGAAATATAATCCTTGAATCAGAACATCAATTATTTTCAACAATTGAATGAAAGGAATAATCATTGAATCAAAGCAACAATTAACTTCAACAATTGAATGAAAGAATAAAATCATTTGATCAAAATAATAATTACGGTCCACAATTTACTGAAAAGAATTTAATCATTGAATTAAAACCACAATTAATTTCAAAAATTGAATTGAAATTAACAATTGAAAGCACTCAACCATAATTAAAGGTAACATTATTGAACTGTTGAATTTAATTGCATTCAATAACAACTGAAAACACTCAACTATAATTAAAGTTAACCGTATTGAACTTTTAAATTTAATTATACTTGATAACAATTGAAAACACTCAACCATAATAAAAGGTAAAGTTATTGAACTTTTTGAATTAAATCGTACTTGATAACAAATTGAAAGCACTCAACCATAATTAAATGAAAAGTTATTGAACAATTGAACTGAATTGAAACCAATTAATCAAGGTCTAATTATTCAAACAATTAAATTGAATTTAGTTAAAATCGATTAATGATAATCAAAGTATAATTAACCTAAATTGAAGTGAAACCATAATTAAAACTAATCAGAATCAAAATATTGAAATTTTCCCTTTGATCAAAAGTCTCTTTCTTCTCTCTCTTTTGAATTTAGTTCTCTTTCTTTTAAATTTCAAGTCTCTTTCTTCTCTCTCTTTTGAATTTAGTTCTCTTTCTTTTAATTTCAAGTCTCTTTCTCTTCTCTTTTGAATTTAGCTCTCTTCTTTTAAATTTCAAGTCTCTTTCTTCTCTCTCTTTTGAATTTAGTTCTATTCCTTTTAATTTCAATTCTCTTTCTTCTCTTTTGAATTTAGTTCTCTTTCTTTTAATTTCAAGTCTCTTTCTTCTCTCTCTTTTGAATTTAGTTCTCTTTCTTTTAATTTCAAGTCTCTTTCTTCTCTCTCTTTTGAATTTAGCTCTCTTTCTTTTAAATTTCAAGTCTCTTTCTTCTCTCTCTTTTGAATTTAGTTCTATTCCTTTTAATTTCAATTCTCTTTCTTCTCTCTTTTTGAATTTAGTTCTCTTTCTTTTAATTTCAAGTCTCTTTCTTCTCTCTCTTTTGAATTTAGTTCTATTTCTTTAAATTTCAAGTCTCTTTCTTCTCTCTCTTTTGAATTCAGCTCTCTTTCTTTTAAATTTCAAGTCTCTTTCTTATCTCTCTTTTGAATTCAGCTCTCTTTCTTTTAAATTTCAAGTCTCTTTCTTATCTCTCTTTGAATTTAATTATATTCCTTTTAATTAAGTTTTTCCTCTCTTCTAATTATGTGTAAAACATTTTGTTTGTTTTTTTGTTTAATTATTATCTTTTGGTGATATGAACAATAATGATCATTATTTAAATATAGAGGAACAAGAAGAAATACAATTAATATTCGGAATTAAATTTAGAGACTCTACAATCAAAATATTACAACTATTAAGTTTTCTCTCTCCATTAATTATATTACTAATTTGGTTTATCTTTAAATTACATCAATTATACATTGAAACTCACTTCTCACCTTAACTATGGATGATCAACCTCTATTAACAACCCCGGTGCTGGGGATTGGTAGAGAGAAGAAGAACAAATTAAATTCTACAGTAAATCAACAATTACATATTCCTAATTTCTCCGGTGATGGGGATGAGGATTTACTAGATTGGCTTGATCATTTTGAATCAGCTGCAGTTGCTCTTGATTGGGATGAAGAGATCAAACTAAAAGCTTTACCTGCTTATTTAACTGGTACCGCTAGTAGGTGGTACCGATGTAGAATCAAACCTTTAACTGGTGATAATATTCCTAGAACTTTTGAAGATTTGAAAGTCAAATTGGTTTCAGATTTAGCTCCTTCAGGTTACCGAAAAAATTTAATTAAAGAGTTAAATAATAAGAAACAACGTTCAGATCAATCAGCTATTTCTTACTCTTACGAGGTTCGAGATCTATGTAGAAGAATCAACCCAGATATGCAAGAAGAATTAGTAAATAGCTTCATCGACAGAGGTTTAAAATCAAACATTCGAACTAGATTAGATTTACTGACAGCTGATTCTACCTCTGACTTTATTACTAAAGTAACATTAGCTGAACGATCAACATTATCAAAAGATGATGATTTAACTGAATCCGAAGAGAATGAACAGTTAAAAAATACAATAACGGCGTTATCACAACATTTACAACAAATTACCGAAAGATTAGACTGTTTAACTTTCCAACAAGATATGAAAAAGCGAGAGAGGGACAACTATCGTAATCGAAATGATTATGGAAATAGTAATTATCGAAATGATAACTATCGAACTGAAAATTATCGAAATACAAATGTTTATCGTGGTAACTATCGAAATAATTATAGAATGAATAACTATCGACAAAGTAATCAAACAAGCGATAATAATCAACCAATCATATGTTATGGTTGCAATGAGCCTGGACATAAAAGAAATGAATGTCCCCGAAGAGTGGACAGACCTCGAGATGATCAAAAAAGTATCGGATGGGCAACTCAAGGTCCATCAACATCTAAAGATGATAATTGGAGAA